GGCGCCGTCGAGGCGAACCGTGAGCCGCGGTCAGAGGTGAGGCCAGGCAGGGTCCCGAAGCGCGCCACCCACGGGCCGATGAAGGCATGGGCGACGTCCGGAACCGCCGAGGCGAGGGAAGAGGCGAGACGGGGTCCAGAAGCGCGCCACTGTGTGACGTCCGAAGCCGCCGTCGAGGTGGTGAAACAGCGAGAGGGTCCACACGAGGCCGACCAGCCATGGTCGAACCTCCTCTCCGGCACCAGAAAAAGCTCAAAAGGTCGTCCTGTCCACGAACAAAAACAGGTGGGCGAAATAGCGAGAGGATCCACGCGAGGCCGACCAGACATGATCGAACCCCCTCTCCGGCACCACAAAAAAATTAAAAATAAATTAAAAAAAACAGTCGGTTGTCGATAGCCGCCGGTAGCTGCAAGGCGTTAGCTGATGCTAGCAGTCGTCGCTAGCCGTTCTCGGCGGCCGCCAGTCGCTGGCCGGACATGCAGCCGCACGTCCCGAACCAACCCGGCACGGTCGCGTACCGGCCCCATGGAAGGCTTGCCGTCCCCCAGAGCCGAAAAGCCGTGAAAATGGCGAGCGTCGTCCGCGTCCATGCCGTGGGGCGCACCGAGCCTCAGTCCGTGCGCACGTGGCAGCAACGGAGGTCCCCAAAAATCTCCGGCATTTCGAGAAAAGCAGAGTCTGCTTTTTGCCGTGTTCGGTCCAGTCCCGGATCCTTCGCGAGACTTATGTCAGGGTCACCACTGTGGTGCCGAGAGAAGGGAGACGGAGGCGGTGTATCAGAGTTGCAAATCTCTCTTTATTGGAGAGCAGAAATCGACGTGCTGTCGGGTTGCAGGAAAGAGGAGAAGAGAAAGTGAAAGAGGAGGACACACAGTAGGTACCCCGGAGGTACCGTCAACATATGTGTCCGGGCGGAAACAATACCCCCAACCTGTAGTTCCATGATTGGATTATGTAACCCCAGTGTATGCATCAGTGATCACTACAACATAACATTATAAGTACTTTACTTTCTGAATTCAAGACATGGAATTTTGACTATACACTCTATAGGCAAGGCAAGGCAAGTTTATTTATATAGCACATTTCAACACAAGGCCATTCAAAGTGCTTTACAAAAATGAAAGACATAGACAGAGTAGGCTACCTGTATATGTGCATGAATTAGCAAGTGGGGTTCACAAACCACACATACAGTGATGCTGGTAGTTTGTGCCTAATGTTCAATATCTTCAACATCTAAATATTGCAATATTTTTATTTTAATATGAAATATCAAGACACTAACATTCTATCCTCATGCTTCAACTGAACTTATTTTATAATGATATACGAGGCTACTATATTTTTCATTTTATACCGAAAAAACTAAAACATGCCCTTTAAAATTGTCACATTTGAGAAACTACATGCATAGAATTGCATGGCGCTTTTTTGAAAAAAATAGAAAGTTGTAGCTAGTAGCTAGTTGTAGCTTGTAGCTAGTTGTAGCTTGTAGCTAGTTGTAGCTTGTAGCTAACAGCCTATTCTGACAATAAACCTACCAATTCATGTTAGCATTAGCCTACTCTTTAGAGACACAAAGACTAATAACATGTTTAATGTTCATGAGAACATATTTCTAAGACAGAGATAAAGAAGTGAAAAGATTAGGAGGTTGCAGTGCTTTGTTCTGCTTAGCTACCCAACATGCCTGCAGCTTGTTTTGTTTGACTCACCCATAGCTGCAGAATTAAATCTGTATCCTGAATTCGATGCGTCATCTTTCTGCTGCTGATGGTCTGCCGAACTTTCTTTGGAAGGTTTCTTTTATGGCTAAATAGTTTCTAAGAAGTTTCTTAATTGTCACACAGTCAAAAAATAAAGCCATTTCAGTATTTTAATTACACACAGCCCCACCTAGTGTCAGCAGAAAGTATTACAAATAATGATTACAAAAAAAAAATATATATATATATATATATATATATATATAAAATATATTTTAAGATCACTATCTTTGCTGCACTATCGTGTCAAATAGGGCAGAGTTAGGATAATTTTATTTGGGTGAATCTGTGTTAATTATGCATATGTGGTATGATGAATTTATTCTTCTTGCACTGATGTTATATCAGGTCAACGTTATGTTACTTTGAGCAGCAGACCCAACTTAAACTAAACCTTACAAAGGGAGATTTTTCAATGAAATGTTTACCTGGTTAAATAACTACAAGGTCATACATGCCAACGCAGGAGGTGACGTCGAATGACATTTGTGTCAATTCCAAGTAAAATGATTTGTTCTATCTACTCTCCAAAAAAACTAGGGCACATAAGCCACAACAATGAATAATTTGTTTACCACAACAGATTTGTCCCATTTAACTGTTCACAAACAGCTTCCTGTCGTCAGTGATATAACCTTACTAGATTTTGGACGGTGTGTGTGTGTGTGTGTGTGTGTGTGTGTGTGTGTGTGTGTGTGTGTGTGTGTGTGTGTGTGTGTGTGTGTGTGTGTGTGTGTGTGTGTGTGTCCAAGCCAATTGCTAAGTCGTCTTTTTTGCGTACAGGTTTGCAATCTTTTAGCTTTCATCTCCAAGTCCCCTATTTCTGGGACTGAGCATATTAGCTCCAAATATCCAAATATACAAACCGTCATGAAAGAATTATGAAGAAAGAAAGTAGAAAGAGCAGTGTTATTTGTATTTTTTGCTTTGAAATCATCTTATTGGTCCTGCATTTGGTTAGTTTTAAAAGTCACACCTTAAAGATAACTCTGCCAACAGGATCTCCTTAACTCATCAAAGTGCCCAAACACAGTCCAATAGGACATAATTTAGACCTTTTAAAATAGGAATAATTCCCTTTTAAAAACAGGACAATTGCTTGAAAGGTCCATTTGTTTGCAGATGAACAAAATTAAGTGAATCAAACGCTATTTTGTATATTTGTAGTCAAACGGCTGTTTCTAATTTCAAGAATGATGATTAAAGCTTGATCTTTTTCATGGTCTTTGGAGGCCTACTTTATTAGGATAGTGTATGTTGACCTCTTTAGATAATTTGGTTCTCACGGCATATCAGGGCCTTGGTTGCTACAAGTAGGGAGTTGACACTGTTACTAAGCTACTTACATTTTGTCATCTTCCTGTAGTACAGTCGTGTCTCCAGGATGTTCTCATGCTGACATTGCTTGATATCCTGTCACTTACCTAATTCAAATATGACTCATGTTTCCTGTGAAATTGTTTCTTTTTTGTATTTTAATCAAATTTAAGAGGAACTCCACTGACACTTACATCAAGGTGAGTTTACATGTCATGAGAATAACTAATCAGCCTGTTAAAAGAGTTTTATAATGTATTTTGTGGGTTTGAAAGTATTCTGAGGACAATTATCTTTAGTTATCTCTCAATTTCATGATGTCATCGGAAAGTCAGAGATACAAACTAGTGATATTGTATGAGTGTTAGTCCAAAGTTTTATCACAATATAATATCATTTTGATTCCTTGGCATGCCATTTGCTGATATCACAAAGTCTGCCATGATACCATTTTTTATTTAATCAAATTCAGGGGCCTGACATTATATCATATGCATAATTAACACATGTATGTGTACGTCATCAACTGATAAAAAGCCCCTAAAAATGATTTAATTGTGGAATTACTGTTTATTTAGGAAAGGGATGACCTTGGATGGAAATGGGTAATAAGTCAAGCCATGGAAATTTCAAAAATAAAGGTGTAATGCAAAAGTGCCGGGACATCATTTAGACCTTTTAAAATAGGAATAATTCCCTTTTAAAAAAAACAGTACAATTGCTTGAAAGGTGTAGTGTATGTTGACCTCTTTAGATAATTTGGTTCTAACAGCATATCGGCATCGGGGCCTTGGTTGCTATAAGTAGGGAGTTGACACTGTTACTAAGCTACTTACATTTTGTCGACTTCCTGTAGTACAGTTGTGTCTCCAGGATGTTCTCATGCTGACATTGCTTGATGTCCTGTCACTTACCTAATTCAAATATGACTCATGTTTCCTGTGAAATTGTTTATTTTTTGTATTTTAATCAAAGGCCAGCTCTGAAGCTTTACATGCAGTCTTATTATGGGATTTTGTTTCATAAAGATAAAGCAACACTTGTTGAAAAAAGTGTTTTTTACCCTAATGCAATATTTAGGACAGATCATTGCACAACAAACATTTCATCAGAACGTATTTTTTTAACTATTTCCTGCCTCAGCTCTCTCCTCTATTTCATAACACCTGAATAAAACTCCCATTTTACAACATATGGGATTAGTTATTTCATAAAGATAAAGCAACACTTTCTCAGAATCAAGCAAAACTAAGAGTTTAAGAGAAAAAAAACATACATTTAATTTAAAAATAAAACTATAATTTGCAAACAAATCATTTGTGTAATCATGTAAACTATAAGTCTTTTTTATTTGTTTTAACATATATTTTTGTTTGCAGTTCTCTTTGCTTCTTTCTCAATGGGGACTTTCAGGGGTGCGTCCCCATTGGCTACTCAGTTTTTGAGTGACAGCCCAGTCCTCCAGCAATTGTACAGTGCAGCTGCGGTGCGGTAGCTGAGCGTGGATAGAACACCCCTAGAAGAACCAGCCTTTCAGTTATTATAATACTACAAGTGAAAATATATGTAAGTATTGATCATTTGTATTGTTTGTGCTTGACTCAGTTTTTTTTGACTCAGTTTTTTTTCTCTTAAACTCTTAGTTTTGCTTGATTCTGAGAAAGTGTTGCTTTATCTTTATGCAACAAAACTAATCCCATATGTTGTAAAATGGCAGTTTTATTCAGGTGTTATGAAATAGAGGAGAGAGCTGAGGCAGGAAATAGTGAAAAAAATACGTTCTGATGAAATGTTTCTTGTGCAATGATCTGTCCTAAATATTGCATTAGGGAAAAAAACACTTCACTTTGCAAGCCAGTACTTCATGTAGCCTACTCTTGATTCTTTATGAAAAACAAACTGCATTAGAAATTCAATATATAAAAAGCTTTATTAAGTTAGAAAATACCAAATATAAATTAAATGTAAAAGAAAATAGCCTTTTCCACACATCCAAAATATGTCGTAATTTACATATATCTAAAAAAATATATATATATACTGTATATATATATCAAACATTTATTGGGGTGTATTGCAAATAAGGCATGGTTAATATACAAACAAATGCTATTGATTTTGTAAAAAAAAAAAAGCAACACAAAAAATAATGTTTTTGGTGTGATGGTCTATCATTAAAAAAACGATCCTTTCTCCAACACAGCAATGGACACAGGTACTGTGAGGACATACAAAGGTACAGTGGTGCTACAGTATGAGGTTATTGGGTGTACCAACATTTATGACAATCGATCCAATTATTGTCAATTTGTCAATTTCATTAAACAACACACCTTTCTCACGGTGCATAGAGGAAGAGTCAGGGGATCTCTAAAGTCATTAGGGTTCATCATCTGGGGACTATGAATGTCTATACACAAGTATGCACCAATCCATCAAATGTTCACAGATATATTTTTATTTGATTGATTTAAAAAAACACGTTGGCCAAACCATTAGGATTCATCTTATAGGCATAAATACTTTTTGTACCAAATGTCAAGGAAATACATCCTATAATTCAATGTATGAGTCAACACAGTGTATCAGTTTAGTTGGCTGGCCAGAGTCCTGAGTTCAGGCTCATCCGCCTCTTTTCCCGCCACGCTGTCACTCCTGTCCTTGTGCTTGCTTTTGAAAGGCCTCCCGAGTTTAATCGAGAGCGTGTTCAGGACGGAGCTCTCGTCCGGTGAAGAGCTGCTGCGGCTAATGCGGCCACTTCTGGCGAAGGTAGACGTGGTCCTGCTCTCGGAGTTGGTGGCCTCGAAGAGCTTTCCCATGAAGCTGAGGCCGGCCTTGCGGATGTGGGAGCTGCCGGCGAACACGTAGAGAATGGGATTGATCGCACTGCTGAAGTAAGCAAACGCTGTGACATTTGGACGGGCTGCAAGGGCAGCATTAACAGTGGATGTACTGTTGTGCAACAGACCCACTACCTGTTGGAGAAAGAGGGGGGAGGGTGGTTAAAACAATACAAAACAACAGGCCTGGTCAGAACTTTAAGATAAGATAAGAAGTACTTTATTGACCCCCAGTTGGGAAATGTTTGTGTTGCAGCAGCAAGGTTGTGGTGCTGATGTTCATTTGCACAGCACTAACTCCATCAACACATACTCACCCCTCTTGTTTGTCTTTAAGGAATACTGTTCTGACTCACTACTTTATTTTTCCGTCAATTCTACTTCACCATTTTTTCTCAATTGGACTCAAGCAACTGCCCATAAAAGTCGGCACTTTCACCATCAGTTTCACATTAATAGCTATGAGTCACTTGGAGACTAAATGTAAAAATAAACTGTTGAGTTTCAGTCACTTCCTACAATAATGAAAAACAGCAAAACAGAACCAACTGCAGTTGAAGAGTTCATTTTGCAACAGTATGCAAAGTCTTACGACATAACCCTGTTTTAAATACAGGCTTGGGGTTTTCTTTGCAGATTAGGGAAATTGTCACCCTTTTTGAAAATGGATTGATGATCATATGTCAAAGTAAGCAGCACTGAAATTATGGAAAATATTGACTTGTGTTTGTATATTGTAAGTGTATTGCATAGAAATGTTGTTAATATGTTACTGAAATGTCAGTTTGGTTGACTGATGATGATATGAATGGTTGAAGGTTACTTCCTAAGCATTTGTTCATTTCATAGACTGTCAAGAATGGACTTGACCACTTCGATGTCACATTTGTTATATAATGCTGTGTATTCCCACAAAATCTTGGCGGGAAACACCACATACCTGAACATAAAGCATACTTTTGGCATTTAACGGAATCAGTATCCATTTCTAGCACATGTAGGTCAAACTCATCAATATAAAAATCACCTCTATGATGTTGACGATGTGATACGGCAGCCAGAAAACTGCAAAGGTACAGATGATCATCAGGATGAGGCGGCTGCCTTGTGCTCGGCGCTGGAACTTGGCACTCTGCAGACGACAGATGACGGAGGTGTAACATGTGTTGATGAGGGAGAAAGGCAGCAGACAGGCCATGATGGTCTCAAACAGGTACTGGAAGACCCGGTGACCCTTGCTCCTCCAGTGGTACGGCATGCAGAAGCGCAAAGTGATATTGTTTGGGAGAGTCTTCTCCAGATTACTTACAGAGAAAAAGAGGAAAAACACACAAATATAAAGTCAATGTTAAAGTAGATATACCAAGCAGAGTCAATTCTGTAACTTAATATAATAATGTTTTAATGGATCTACTAACCCTTAATTACAGTATAGCAAATGTCGGCAATTTCCTTGATTATATTATTATTAAAATGTGTGACAATGTAGAAACACAGCATTCAATTCTGCTTTATATGGAAGTTACAAAACTATGAGGCAACCTTACATTGAATTAGAGATGTAAGAGCATGAACACATACACGTAAAAGAAAAACTGTTGTTACTATATTTTAAACTCTTGCCACACCATCCAACAATTTTTATTTTTATTAATACTATAAAGTCCAAAAAAGAAAATTGAAATGTTTTCTCACTTGTTGAAAAGACCCATGTTTATGATCGTAATATATTTAAAGATACGACAGAAATGTTAGCCTCACCTGCGGTAAAAAGGCATCGGCAGTGACATGAGGAACGCCAACACCCATACGGCGAGCAGGAGAATCAGGAGGGAGCGCTTGGTTCTCATCCTCTGGGACAGAAACGGCCTGGACACGGCCAGCCAGCGGTCCATGCTCATCAGGCAGATGAGGTAGATGGACACGTACATGTTCACACTCGATAGGTAATGCACCAGCTTGCATGCTGCCGAGCCAAACTCCCAGCCTCGGCCTCCAGCCAGGTAGCGCAGGAACAATGGGGCGCTGAGCAGCACGAAAGCATCCGCCATACTCAGATTCAGCACCAGCAAACAGGTCACTGAGCGCTTCTTCACCCGGCACAACACTGTCCAAACAACAAACAGGTTCCCAGGGAAGCCCAGAACAAAGGCCAGGGTCAAGATGGCGATGCCGACAATGTGGCTGATGGACAGAGGAACAGATGAAGAGGAGGACTGCTGGGAGATGGTGGTGGTGATATTGGATGCCATCAGGAAAGCCTTAGAATAATCTGAGTGAGGCTTTGACAACTGTGAAAGTGACACAACAGAAAAAAAGACAGGAAACAGGATATGTTGAATTAACATTTGTTACGTGCGAATGTGTGTCAACGCTTTGAGATGTCACACAACATGTTTTTTCTTTTAAATCTACACTACATATTTACGGAAAGTGGTCCTGCCTGTTATCAGCATAAATGGACCTCAAAATATGATTAACTGCCTCTTTATTTAAAGGATTGATACTTTGTGGTATTGAAGAAGTGGTGCATGTCTTGCCTTCTACAGTGATGTGACAGGGTTTCATAGATATATATATATATATCTGTAAGACTTGTCTGCAGCAAACAAATAGAAGATTACTGTATATCATGAATTTTAAAACTATACTTTGACCTGTCGATAAATGTATTATTTCCTGCATTTTGTCCCTATTTCACAATTGTTGCCATTTATAAGGACACTAGTGAAATGTGGACAAAAAGATAATTATTACAGGTACATTTTCCTTCATTCTGCCAAATTATTATGAGAATGTAAGTTCTGTCACATCAGTTTTATACCAAATGATTACCAAGAAGCAGTGGCGACTGGTCATTAGGGGCACAGCCCCACCTAGTGTCAGCAGAAAGTAATTCAAATAATAATTCCAAAGAAATGCAAATAAATGCAAAAAAAATACATCTTAAAATATATTTTAAGATCATGTTTAATCATCTGATTCGTCTGTACATTGCTGTTTTAGTCTGTGTTCTTCTAATTAGTGTCTACAGTGTGCCTTGAGCCGTTTTGAGCGATGTGGGTCAAGCCCCGATCTAGCCCCTCTCTCTCACGGGCCGTCTCCACGGCAGCGTTAAAAAAATCTTGGAAGTGGGCGTATCTGAAGCTTGAGGATTTTTTGCGAGCAACCAATCACATGAATCTCCCGCCCGCGACATACGAAGCAAAAAAGCCCGAAGTAAACTGGATATAAACTCCCCAAAACAGGCGAAAACCTACCACTGTCTCTGCCACCTCCCTCCATGCCTGGCTCCTCCGGTTTATATCCCGGTAGGTCTGGTCATAAAGCACCGGGTGATTGATTCGCTACCGCTAATTTCTCCTCCATTTTTTGGAATATGAGGAAATGACCTGCGGTATTTCTCTCCCAGCATACACGCCTTTTGATTGGCTAGAGCTTGAACTGTCAGATTTGCGTACACGGGATTTGATTGGCTGACGCTTCCACCTCAGCCTCAAAAGTTGAACATTGTTCAACTTTGGATCTTGAAAATCCTGAGAATCTCCGCTCGCCTGCCCACAATGCATTTCGGCGAAAGCGAAAAAAAGTGACGTCACCCCATTCAAAGTGAATGGGCAGAAGCGTTTCAAGATTTTTTAACGCTGCCGTGGAGACGGCCCGTCACTGTCAAAGTGTATGGTTTCATACACTACGCATGCTCAGAGTATTTTTCTATTCAATGTGTGCGGCAAAAAAATAATCACCATAGGGGCTCTGTGCTGACATACCTACCAAACGTCATCTCATAATTCAGAGAGCTGATTGGCTGTAAGTACATGTGCTGCGAAAATAGTAGTTGTTTGTGAAGAGGAGAGGAGAGAGCAGCGTAGCGATTAAAATCAGTAAAACGGAAAGAAAATGAATGAAGTTGACCATCTACTTCAGTATTGGTAAGTTCATTTTATGTCATATCTTTTGTTGATCTTCTGTGTTTTGCCTATAGGCTATTGCTCTGCTGGATCGATTGATATTGTGACCGCGGTGATGAGTGTCTGTGTTTTCCTTATATCCCCCCTCTCTCTATCGCCTACAGCTATTTGTTTACGTGTTTAAAAAAGCACCAGAAGCATACACATCTAAGTTGTTCGTGCCCCACCACTTTTGTACATATAAAAGAAGGCCAAGAAGGCAAAGAAACTGTGAAATTAAAATCTTTATCAAACTTCTAATCTGCTATCTCCGAACAGAAAGCAACAGAAATCTGCACTCGTTGTGAAGCAAGACAAGAATAATATACAAATATAGTCATGTAATTACGGAGCCCCTAAAGGGACATGGAAAAAACGGGATAACGGTTTGAGAGACATAAAAAAAATATGAGAAAAAAAATAAAGTCAGGAAAACGGGTTAGTTTCTCGTGCACGAGAAACTCAGAACACATGCACACGGAGCTGAGCAGAGCACAAACAGATTCACATCAATCATGCACCCTGGTGACCGGACATCTCCTTCATAAAACTAATAAAAGGGGGAGTAATCGGGCAGTTCGATGTGTGTGTGTGTGTGTGTGTGTGTGTGTGCGTGTGTGTAGAGGTGTGTGTGGTTAAAACGTTACGTAGCAGCCTATTTTAAAAAATAAATAAAGTCAGGACAACGGACCCGTTTTCCTGACTTTATTCTTTTCTCTCTCTCTTTATTTTATTTGTCCCTTTAGGGGCTCCGTATGTAATAACTTCTGGTTTGGTATTTCCGTTTAACATTTTATTAAAAAAAAAAGTACAGAGATTTCAGTTCCTTTTCTTATACTTGTGAGACCAAATTGTACGGGACCATATAGTCTGTTCTGTCAAACTCCAAAGTAAAAATATTTTTAAAATAACATATTAACAAGATACATTTTCATACTGACCTACTTCTGATTTATCTTTTAAGCCCACGACGGTAAATCCACTCCAAAAATGTACCAATGTCCACCTATTTTACAGCTCCCCTGATCTACTGTTAACTCCCAGGCTTTCCTCTTTGAGGACTGAGTGTGTAGAGAAACCGCAAAGTTTATATATTGAGAAAGAGGGTTTACGTAAGGGGAAGCCCGGTGACCACAGGAAGCAAGCTTAAGAACATTTGGTTGTAATGTAGCTGTTGTTCCCAGGGGTGGACTGGGACTAAAATTCAACCCTGGAATCTGACCCAGGCCAAATTCCGAGGGGGGGGGGGTGGGTTGGCATCAGAACAAAATATACAGTAGCCCAGGGGCGTCGCCTGGAACTGAAAACATTCGGGGCTTAGCCCACAGTGGCGGCGGCGCTACAGTGGAATTTTTTACTGCCACACAACACTCCCCACACACACACACACAGTACACCCGCGACTGTTACAATGAAGGCCCGATAATCATCTCACCGCATATAGGCTCTGTGCACAAGATGGCGTCTATCAACTTCCGGCGGGTGGGTGTGAGGGCGAGTACTTCTGGTTTGAGTACAGAGTTTTGACAGCTTGACAGTTTGACAGTTTGACAGTTTGTTATGACACACCAAGAAAAAAAAAAAAAGTCAGGAAAACGGGTTAGTTTCTCGTGCACAAGAAACTAATCCGTTATCCTGACTTTATTTTTTTTTGTTGAGAAATTTACCGGTGCGCCAAGGAGGAAGTGGAGCACACAGGAGACAACCATTTCATTGCAGACTGTTATGTTTACGTGGGGAAATGACAGTGCATACATTATTTGAGATATATTTCGAACTCCGAATTAATTTTATGGGCATTTCGGCCAGGGGTGTAGAGCTATTTGTTTAAGCACCGGATTGGCAAAACAGGAGAGTCTGTTTAAAGGGGACCTATCATGCAAAATGCACTTTTGTACGTCTTTTATACATGAATATGTGTCCCCGGTGTTCCAGGGAACTCACCAAGTGTCAGAAAACACAACCCTCTCTATTTTCCTCCATACCCAAATCTCTAAAAAAGGGGCTGCAACGGATCTGATAAAAACTAATCCAGATTTGAACACTTTCCTGACGTCAGGACAGTGGCGCTACGGCTATTGGGCCAACTCCACCAATCAGGAGGAGACAACCACGGCATTGCCGTTCGAAAGCGCTGGAGACGTTGTAGTACATATGCCAGGCCTCTAGATGGTGCTGTTGCTCATAGAATCAACCCTTGCTAAAACAGATCTAAAAAATGTCAAATTGAGCAAAATGAGGCATGGCTAAAATGCATGATCTGTTTGGTATTTTGAAAAAATAAAAGTATAAATATGCCTTATATTGGTATGGCCCTACACTATATTATTCAAATATAGCATGATAGGTCCACTTTAAAGGGTGACAAACACTCAGAACACATGCACACAGAGCTGAGCAGAGCACAAACAGATTCACATCAATCATGCACCCTGGTGACCGGACATCTCCTTCATAAAATTAATAAAAGGGGGAGTAATCGGGCAGTTCGATGTGTGTGGGTGTATGTGTGTGTGTGTGTGTGTGTGTGTGTGTGTGTGTGTGTGTGTGTGTGTGTGTGTGCGTGTGTGTGTGTGTAGAGGTGTGTGTGGTTAAAACGTTACGAAGCAGCCTATTTAAAAAAATAAAATAAAGTAAGGACAACGGACCCGTTATCCTGACTTTATTCTTTTCTCTCTCTCTTTATTTTTATTTTTTTCCATGTTCCTTTAGGGGCTCCGTATGTAATAACTTCTGGTTTGGTATTTCCGTTTAACATTTTATTAAAAAAAAAAAGTACAGAGATTTCAGATCCTTTTCTTATACTTGTGAGACCAAATTGTACGGGACCATATAGTCTGTTCTGTCAAACTCCAAAGTAAAAATATTTTAAAATAACATATTAACAAGATACATTTTCATACTGACCTTCTACTTCTGCTTTATCTTTTAAGCCCACGACGGTAAATCCACTCCAAAAATGTACCAATGTCCACCTATTTTACACCTCCCCTGATCTACTGTTAACTCCCAGGCTTTCCTCTTTGAGGACTGAGTGTGTAGAGAAACCGCAAAGTTTATATATTGAGAAAGAGGGTTTACGTAAGGGGAAGCCCGGTGACCACAGGAAGCAAGCTTAAGAACATTTGGTTGTAATGTAGCTGTTGTTCCCACTGGGACTAAAATTCAACCCTGGAATCTGACCCAGGCCAAATTCCGGGGGGGGGGGCATCAGAACAAAAATATACAGTAGCCTACTATTAGCTGTGCACCATTATGGTGTAAATACAGCCTATCTACCAATTGGATCAAATATAAAAGTCAGACGAATTAGTGTTGATACTGCAAGGAGACGTATTGTGTGAAAAGAAATGTAAGATGTTGTTTAATTGCTGATATATTTATGATCCACGTCACGTTTTCAGTTTTGGCGGCAGTTCTTCCTGTTTGACTAGAAGTCTTCTCATCAGGGCTCTATAAATAGAGAACTACGGCAGATATGTAATATTTAATGCAGCCGAACCGTGTATTACAATGCCGTTATGTGATGACTTTCAAAGAGAAAAGCAAGCACACTCGGAATTACAGGATCTCCTTAAAGGTAGGGTATGTAAGTTTGAGAAACCGGCTCGAGACACACTTTTTGTTATATTCCATGGAATGCTCTTAACATCCCGATAGCAATGAATATCTTAAGTGCTTTGACAAAAAATCCATAAAAAAATGTCATCTGTGGAAGCCGTAGTACTGTAAAAAGCACGACCAATCATTTTAGCCGGCCCGGCTAAAATAACTGGATGGCCTACCTGCCTGTCAGCCTTCCATCTGTGCACAAACTTATCTCGTGCCCTCATTGGTCATGTGCGCGTTCGTGTGTGTTGAAGGCCTCACAAAATACTTTAATGTAAATTACAATTTAAATGTGAAGGAATGTGTGTGTATAACAAAATACATCCGTTATAAACAATACCGGAAACAGACGTATAGATATATTGATATATATGATATATTTATGATCCACGTCACGTTTTCAGTTTTGGCGGCAGTTCTTCCTGTTTGTCTAGAAGTCTTCTCATCAGGGCTCTAGAAATAGAGAACTACGGCAGATATGTCATATTTAATGCAGCCGAACCGTGTATTACAATGCCGTTATGTGATGACTTTCAAAGAGAAAAGCAAGCACACTCGGAATAAAGTATTATTTTATATAAAAAAAAATTCGGATTTCACATTGCATAAAGACCATATCCCAACGTGCATTGCGGCTAAACCATCCAATCACCGAGCTGAGGATCTTGCCTATGTCTGTTTCCGGTATTGTTTATAACGGATGTATTTTGTTATATACACAGTCCTTCACATTTAAATTTTGATTTACATTAAAGTATTTCGTGAGGCCTTCTAAAATGTTTTTAAATATAACTACGGTTCTAGTTGAAGAGTTTGTAAATGAACATGAACGCAAGCTGTTGTCTGGCAACGCAATCGCACAACGTCACGTCCGTTAATTTTACAACGACACACATGGATTAACATCGATTTAATACATTAATGTAGCCTTTGTTTCTGCTAAAAGAGGTGTCGACCAGCTGGGGCAACAAGAAAATCGGCGAAATCAAGTGTGACTATTAAAAGATAAATCATTATTATATTAATATTGACAATAACAACCGACCGTCGGGGTAGAGGATTTGCTTGGCATTTCCGGGTATTTCTCCATGTTAACAATACCGTGTAACTGTAACGTTTGAAGGGACGAAATCGTGACATCTTCACGTCTCCCAGCATGGTAAATCGTCACATGTTCACGTCTTGCCTTGATACCAGGTTGACTCGATCAGTACTCCAGCAGCAGCATTATTACCCCTTGGAAAGTCTTTAGAGACTATCCTGGATAGCTGTTCACAACTTTCCTTCAGCACAGTGACACACCCTTGTCATTCTTGTTGGCCTCTTATGATGCTGCTAAAGTCCTTCTACTGCACCTTTTAAGACTCCAATACAGGCATTTATACTGTATGTGTTTGGAGAAATGACACAATAATATCGAAATCTTGTAGTGCAGGAAGAAATACACACTGGCTAAGCCTGCAGGTGATATAGGCTTTGTTTTGCAATATTTATTCAAAGGTCACTTTTTATTTAAATAAATATCTGAAATATAGATATTATCTCTTATCAAAGATAGCAGAATAAATGAGTCAACTGAGTAAGAGTCATTACTACTTAATTTCTATAAACTCATCTGTGGGCAAAGGGGCCTGTCGGACGCCTTCTGGTTTGTGTTTGTAGTCAAATCATTATTGACAAATCACCTATGAGCCGGCTTTGGTTGCTAGCAGTTAAAAAAGGTTATGTGGAAAGCAAAAGTGAGTGATGAGATGGATTGCATTGGTTGTAATGCAGCTTTTGACTGACAAAGTTTTCGCTTTTTATTATATTTAAATTTATTTTTTAAATTGGCAATGCTCAACATATACTTTGTTGATGTCCTCGCTCAACTCCAACTCCATCCTTGCATCTAAAGTAGCTAATCAGACACATATAAAGCAAGAGCCAAGGGATGATTAGCATAGCTTAGCATAAAGACTGGAAGAAGCTGGAAACATTTAGCCTGTGTCTGACTCAAACGGGCTATTATCAGTGGTAGTATTATTTGATGATTTAGCTTTAGAAGGTTTCTTTCATTACATTTTTATTTACTTTTGACAGAAACAGGAACGCTATTTCCCCCTGGCTCTATAGTCTCTATGCTAGGCTAAGCTGAGCTAAGGGCTACGCATCGCACTCGTAGGAAACAAGGTATTTCTTTATTAGTGTTTTCTTCCAAAAGAAACCAAATAACTAATTAAGTGGTCATCCAACAAGTTATGTACTTAGCTGCCATATCTAATATACTGAGAATTTTTTGTCCAATGATTGCAAGAGAAAAGCATTCAGCAGCAAAAAAACTGATTTGCTAATTTCCCTGATCTTTCTCTTTGAGTACTTATAAACTTCCTAAATCAGCTAATCTCATGTCTTTTAACAGAGATGTGAACTTGTCAAAATGTATCAAAGTCCATCCCATTGGCATCTGTGGTTTTTGAAACGCCTACCTCTTGCTGCATTTCATGTGATCTTACGTAATGTTAGAGTATTACATTATTTCTTCTCATCCTACGCACAGGTGGCCCTCCAGTACATGCTGGAGCTCGTGTTGGGGTTTCTAATTCCCTACACGGTCATTGTAGTCACCTACATCTGCATCTTGCGGCAGCTCCGACAAACCAAGTTTCGCCGTCGCATTTGTAGCAAGAAGCTCATCCTTGCCATCGTGTTGACATTCTGCCTCTTTTGGTTGCCATACCACCTCGTCAATATGGTTCAAGTATGTCAAACATCTTAATGAGTAACACATTCTTCCAAGCATTGTATGTATAGAGTCTAAAGAGATTCTTTGAAATGCATCATGTGTCCAGAGAGTTTTCACTGCTACTAACAAAGCCATTTTTTGTTGTCTTCAGGTAACATGGGCGTTGTGTCCAAAGGGTCAAGTGAAAGAGACGTAAGTGATGACACAACAACTTGCCTGCATCTTATTTATTATAGCTAATATTATTCCCTGGTTCTCTATTTGCTAAGCTAAGAGCTAAGCATCACATATTTAGATACCAGGAAATAAAAAAAATAAATTATTATTATTTCAATTGTAATCCAAACATGTGATGTACTAAGCTGTCATATGTATATCCTAATACTAATAAAACACTTTATTTATAGCCTTTATGCACAATTAGTACTACTTTTGATACTTGAGTTCATTTAGCTTCTTCTGCACCTTTACTTAAGTAACATTTTGAATTTAGGAATACACTTGTGATGAAGTATGTTTAGACTGTGGTATTAGTACTTTTACTTAAAGGGGACCTATCATGCAAAATGCACTTTTGTACGTCTTTTATACATGAATATGTGTCCCCGGTGTTCCAGGGAACTCACCAAGTGTCAGAAAACACAACCCTCTCTATTTTCCTCCATACCCAAATCTCTAAAAAAGGGGCTGCAACGGATCTGATAAAAACTGATCCAGATTTGAACACTGTCCTGACGTCAGGACGGTGGCGCTACGGCTATTGGGCCAACTCCACCAATCAGGAGGAGACAGCCACGGCCATTGCCGTTCGAAAGCGCTGGAGACGCTGTAGTACATATGCCAGGCCTGTAGGTGGTGCTGTTCTCACAGAATCAGCCCTTGCAAAAACAGGGCTAAAAAAGTGCAAATTGAGCGAAATGAGGGATGGCTAAAATGCATGATCTGTTTGGTATTTTGAAAAAAAAAAAGTATAAATATGCCTTATATAGGTATGGTCCTACACTATATTATTAATATATAGCATGATAGGTCCACTTTAAGTAGAGTATCTAAGTACTTTTAGCACTGATGCATAGTATGTGACACTTTTCCGCACATTTCAAAAGAAACAAAGTTATTTTTCTTTAATAAAAGGCTCTCTCCTTCTCAACCCTCCAGGCTGAATTTAATATGGCACAAGAGCCGAGCGGTCACCTCTGCCATCGCCTTCATCAGCAGCTCTGCCAACCCAGTCCTGTACTTCTTCGCAGGAAAGTCCTACATCCGACGAGAAGGGCTGGCATTCATGCAGTGGCGGCGCCAGAGTATTTTTGTTGGGTAATCTATGGTAGGGCTAACCGATACAGTGGTCAGTGGCGTTTTCTCCTGGAGGCCAAGGGAAGCCAGGCTTCCCCTGTTTTTTCGGATTGTAGTTATAATTTTAATAAATAAATAAAAACACTTCGTTTAGTTTCGGAAATTCTTCTTTGCTGTGTGTTGCTGCCGGCCCATCTCTCCCCCATTCTCATTGAGTATTTTACAAAGAGTGAAACAGCGCCCCTCTAGATGTTATGGTAAAACAGTAGATTGCACTCGCTGTTGCGAGAGGAGGCCAGCCGAAATTGGCTTCCCTTGGTGAAACAAAATGGAGGGATTGACCAATCAGACAAGGCTCACGTCATGTCCCTGCCAACCTGTCAGTGGCGGCCGGCCCATAGGGGCGCTAGGGGCGCCGCCCCCCCTCTTCCCACATTAAAAAATAAAAAAAATAAAAAAATATATATTTAAAAAATATATTTTTTATTTTTATTTTTATTTTTAATAAACAAGGTAAATATTATATCATTGGTATCAGTAAAATGTATAATCTACAATAAAATCTCGTTTAAAATTGTGTTACGATGTCTAAAGTTACTGATAAGTCACATGTTTCCTGCCTGGCCTTGCCCGTGTATCATTACCCTCTCTCGTCTGGGCGCTATGCACAGCGCCCAGACGAGAGTGCAGCAAGTGCAGCAGAAGCCAACTGTTGCTATCTTTAAACTATGCCGCCGAAACATAATTTCAGCCAATCAGCGTCGTCAAATCTGATGGTCACAGGGCGCCTACGTCAGCGCCCGGTGCAGTCTGTGAGTTGTTTGGACTCGTATCCAAGGAGACAAAACAGGAAGCTGTCATACACTCTGGAAGCTACCATTAGCAGCTAATGAAAACTCAGTTTTTGACATAAAAATGTCTTGGTATGGCTGTAGCCTACCCCAGCCATACCCTGGCGCCGCCACTGAATTCATGGCTCGCTTATTTGAGGGCACAGCGCTGGACTCGGCCACCAGAAAGAGCCGACAGAACAGCCATAACAGCCGCGAAAAAGACAAAGAGGCAGATGCTGTAATGCTTAAAGGGGACCTATCATGCAAAATGCACTTTTGTACGTCTTTTATACATGAATATGTGTCCCCGGTGTTCCAGGGAACTCACCAAGTGTCAGAAAACACAACCCTCTCTATTTTCCTCCATACCCAAATCTCTAAAAAAGGGGCTGCAACGGATCTCATACAGACTGATCCAGATTTGAACACTTCTATGACGTCACAGAAGTGGCGCTACGGCTATTGGGCCAACTCTCCACCTATCAGGGGAATGTGGGGTTGGGCCACGGCTGGCCATTGCCGCTCGAAAGCGCTGGAGACGCTGTAGTACATATGCCAGGCCGGTACAGATGGAGCATCTTATTTCAGACTCCAGCATACAGCTTCCTGCCTACTACCAGCCAGTTACCTGCCTAAGACCTGCCAAAGACCAGTATCTGGGAATGTTAAGCCCTCCCACTATTTTCCAAGAGGGCGCTGCCAGATTTTCAATTTCAGGATTTAACCAGGAGATGGCGCTATATATTAAATAACTATGGCCAAACTAAGACTTAGTTTTTCACAAGAGAAAATGCAGATATTATATAAAAAACTAAAGTTAAAATCTTGTTTTTAATGCCCCAAGAGCAATAAAAACACTTGTTAAAAAAATCCTGAGTGAGGCTTTCATAAATTGCATTTAGCTGACGCTTTTATCCAAAGCGACTTACTATTTAATAAATGATAAATGATTATTCATAACAAATATGAGTGATGTGTGATTATTATTCATGCTATATACTGATATAGGGCTAAGTAAGCAATCAATCCTGCAAATGAACCCTTAGTTGTTCAATATATTTATTCAGACAATGTGAGTAGAAATACAGAAATTCTGCTCCCACCTAAGGCCAACGTTGCAATATTACAACATTTCCCTAAAAACGTACCAAAACGTAAACATTTTTAAAACTCTTTCATTTCTGCTCCAGAGGCCAGGGGTTAAATTGGGATTTGATATGTGGGGGGGGCTCTGTTAGAAGGTGCGACGGGGGAGGGGGGAGAGAGTTAGACGCTCGTGAATTGTCAACGGGGGGGGGCCTCTCTGCACGGAGGAGCCGCGGAGGAAGAGACACACGTTCACTAAGCCGAATCACAGTGATCTGCTATTTTAAAGTAAATTCAACACATATCGACCCTAAATATAGCATATATTAAGAACGAGAAAGTGTTAACATCGTTTTTTGTAAACATACAGATGGAGCCTCTTATTTTGGACCCCAGCATACAGCTTCCTGCCGACTGCCAGCCAGTTGCCAGCCAGTTGCCTGCCAAAGACCAGTATTCAGGAATGTTAGGCCCTCCCACTATTCTCCAATTTCAGGGTTTAACCAGGAGATGGCGCTATATATTAAATAACTAAGACTTAGTTTTTCACAATAGAAAATGCAGATATTATATAAAAAACTAAAGTTAAAATCTTGTTTTTAATGCCCCAAGAGCAATAACATCTTGTCACAAGCTTTTTGGAAGAAAAAGACTGACTCAAGAGACCTGTAGTTGACTAATTACAGGCCTCAATAAAGTTCTGCCATTGGTTGTGAAAAACAACGGTGGACATAGTGGAAAGTGAAATTGACATTGTCGAATTTAATAAAAATACAAAATAATGTATCTGTGTACGTGTTTTACTATGTGATCTGCACTTATCAAACATCTAATTAAGGCGAGACACCCCAGGTGAATAGGGTATTTTTAACTTAAAGATATCAGCTAAATATTTCTCCAGTTAATTACTTACAATAAGGCAATTGTTTTTTGTATTACAAGTTTTCTGAAATAGCATGTTTAAATATCCAAATGAACCATTATCTCATGAAATATGCGCATATTTTAACACATTTCAGGAACCGAAATCTGAACTTTGGATAAAGCCAGGATCAAAATTATTGTTTCATTTTGTAGTCATATTAGTATCTAAGGCTTTTACAGAAGGGATTTTGGATATCTCTTTTTATCACTCCATAAATCAGAAAATACTGTCAACAGCCCTAAAATATCAATTTTCACCATGTTTTTAGGTATAAAATGTTATATAATTCAGGCTATGAATTATATATGACCAAACCCTTCTGTAAAAGCCTTCATAATATTTATAGGAATATAACTGGAAGGTTTGGTGTATGTAACTGCTGAGTGATTCTACAATTTAGGGTACATTCCATGTCCATTGATGTCCATTGATGATAATTATAATTATTCTAACTATTTTCTTCAAAAATATAATATTTTGCCTATTATTGGAAAGCATGTTATAATATCACACAAACATTATGTGCATCCTATGCTTTATTTAGCTTGAAATGTGTCATGATGTTCTTAAATTGTCAGTTTTTGCTATGTCCGTTTTTCAGTTGAGGGTGTCTTGGATTCAAAATAATGAATAAAAACCATTAAAGTAAATTTAAAAAATGATTCATTTATTTCAAAAGTCTAAATACTAAAGAATAATAACATATTTTTAATTGATTTCCCCCTTTAAATAATTTAAATATCTTAATATATGAATGTCCGCAAAAGTTCTGTCAACTATGTTACTAACAGAACTTCCCCCTTTAACTCAAAAATTGTTTGTCCCAATACCATGTCACCAGCATCACATGATGCCATGTTCCTCTTTGGCAGACATTTTGAACACACTGTGGTGATTGTCCTCTACATTTTTACAATATTTTATGTATAATAGCACATGGTCAATTAATATACTCATTGACAATCAACAATGTTACGTACATTGTTATGGTTTACAATTGTTTAATGATTTTAATTCAATTATATGTGCAAATGTGATGTTAACCTGTTCAAGAAAATGACATGTGGTCATCCAGGCAAGGCCTACCATTGAAATGATGGGTCAAAATAGGGAAATTGTCAACTAGGTTACCTGTCAACTGAGTTACCCAGTACTGTAATAACTGTAGTAACTTAGTTGACAGGTAACCTAGTTGACAATTTGTACGACATGTAGACGTCATTACACATCATTATCAATGGAATTTTGCACTTCTGCCTTGAAATTAACATAGTGCTGATGGTTAATAATGTGTCCAGTCAACTATGTTATTTGCGTCAAATGTTTGACTTTCATTGTCAACTATGTTGCACCTCATTTTTTCAAATTTAAAATATCTAAAATAGTGCTTCTGATATCCTTTATAGTATAATGTATATCTACACAGGTTGGAGTTTTACATGACATCTCTTAAAACTATCAAAATGACCTGTATGGTAGTTTTATAATACAAAATATCCCTAAACTTAATGACAGTGCTGAACATATCACATGAAAAAACAAAACTTTAATACAATTATTTTTTAAACTTTAAAAAATCTTTGGATATATGGTAGAATAGACTCATGAGCCTTTCAAATTTGATTTTACTTGAAGTGCAGGACTTAATCAAATGATTGTAATGACATCAAGTTTGTCCGTAACATAGTTGACAAACTGAGTAGTGAAAACATCCTTTCCCTTAAAATAAAAAAATATATAAAAATGTTTAAGCTTTGCAACTAGTGGATATGTTACACTGAGGAATATACTAACTTGAACCACTGATTGTTCTATCTATACATTTTATTTGGCATTAGTAAATAATTATGCACATTTACAGATATTTTACATGATATGAGTGATAACACGTGTTATAAGGGCTATTTCGCACAATAGGTGTGCCTTGAGATTTTTACTTGTCCTTTGGTGTGCCTTGGGCACAAAAAGTTTGGGAACCACTGCTGTAGAGAAATGTAAACGTTCACCATCCCCCACCCGCCTACTGTATGTTGCTTTTTGACATGTAAATGGGTAACTACCCCCCTCTGAGTGAATACCTGTTGTACCTGTCCGGGGCTAAGCCCATAGGACGATGCTCTGATGTCATCACCCTCGCACATTGGTCATATGTTTACAAAAAACGATGTTAACACTTTCTCGTTCTTAATATATGCTATATTTAGGGTCGATATGTGTT